TCGTCGATAAATCATAAAACTCATAAATCGCGTTGAAGCAGGAAGTAATCAGGCAGCAACAAGTACGATTACACGAGACTTCACGGAGGTAATCATTCGAGTTACACGAAAATTAGCCAGCTCGGCCGCAAATGTGTCTCCTTATGTAAATCGCGCGAGTTTCCGCGAAGCAGCCGACTTTCTCCCCCTTGTTTCTTTTTTTTTTTTTCACGTGTTGCAAGCGTGAAAAAGGACAACGGCGGCAAGCGTACGGGAAAATTGTATATTTCAGAATTGCCGAGGAAAAGTCTCCTCCGGTTGGGGAAAGAATTATGCCACTGTTATATGTGGCACACGTAAGCCGGCGTACACGTGAGCGAAATAAAAAATTTGCAGGCCGGCATGTTTAAAGTCCGCTAGTCATGTTCGTGAAACGTTTACTAACGAACCACGGTTTCACCAAGCCTACACACAGTATTTGCTGTTTAGTCCCCGGACTCGCGTCACTTGCAAATCTACGGCTGAAATTTCCGGCAAATCCACGACTCGCAACCGCGGTAAAGAAGAAACGTGACGTGGCCTTTTGTTCGACGGGGAAAAACGGGGGTGGAAAACGCGGGCAATAAGATACGGTTATTGTGAAAATGAATTTTGAAGGAAATTTCTTTTTTTAATGTCTTTTTGTTTTGCGTTCTCTTTTCGAGTCGGTGAGAACTCTGAAGAACTTTAAAGAACTCTAAGAGCTTTCAGTTATTAAAGAAAAATTCTTTTTCTCTTATTTCTTTTATCTCGTATTCTTATTTTTATGTCAATGAGAACTTAAGGAGCTTTCAATTATTCAAAAAAATTCTTTCCATCTTATACACATTTTCCTTTTTACATGAATATGTATTTTCCATTTTTAAGGAGCTCGCAATTACTAAAAATGCGATACGCGAAAATGCTACTTTCTCAGTTGGCAAAAATTACATTTCTCACACGCGTTAAAGTTGATTATAATATTATAGTCGCTGTGACGTGCATTATTTTACGGTTCTCACATTTTATTATGGCAATATTACCTCAGAGGAGGAAATTTTCAGTTGCTGTCTTCATGTACCTTTTGCCAGTCTGTTTTTATTCATTATGTTTCACACCTCCATCCATATTTCTCGTAACGGGAAATTTTATAACAGCAGATGTTACAAATTTACACTTCGTTTATATGAGATTTACAACGGGACGGTCGTAAAATGTAGAATATGGAGTTTAAATTACAAGGAATTATGAAGAAAAAAATTAAAGATTTTTCATCAAATATTTAATTCAATAAATGGTGCACTAGAATGTTTATTTGAATAGTGACTTTTAATTTATTGTATAAACTTTGTTTTAAATACTGCTATAACGTTGCGAAAGATGTTTAACCGTCTCATTAATTAACGGGGATTTACCCACTGATTTTTTGTGAACGATGCACTGCAGCGGAGGTGACAATGATTTATGAACGGAAAATAGCTAAGAAAAAATTCTTTCCACTCGTGGGACAGTCTGAACATGTATTTAAAATATTCGAGAAGTAAAAAGAAATCTGCATTAGAATTTGACTATTTAAATTTGAATAGTTCGAGTTTGAATGGCTGAATTGAAATATTTAAATTTGAGTAGATCGAGTTTGAACGGCTGAATTGAAATATTAAAAATAAACATTGAAAAAGGATGTTATTTCACCAAGTAAAAAATGCCTTTTTTCCTTCGTTCGTTTCGTTTATCTCTTCTTTCCCAGCGTCACACGTGAATTCCCGACTACAAACGATAATTTATTGACTTTATTATTGAAAGTTAGTGCGGTTCGTGCGATGGTTACATAGTAATTAGCCGAACGAAAGTTGTCGCATGAACGTAAATTAACACGAACTACATGGACGCGAAATTATGTGTATATAAGTTATCCTGTGTTAACTTTTATTTTCCTCGACATATTCGAGACTGTCAAAAGTTGAGAAACTCGTTAACTCTGTGAAACCGTCTTTGCAATTATTAAATTCTAACCATCGTACCGATAAACGGATACACGAAAAACAGAGGAAAAGCTTCTCTTATATAAAAGAAGCAGCAATTATATCGCTAGGCGTAGTGTTTTTCTTCTTGTTTTTCACCGAAATAAAAAGTTCGAGCGAGTTAAAACACGATAGAAAAACTTCCACTTAATTACACGTTTTCACGCAAAAAGATATTACTTATCTGGAAATAGCAGTAATCAACCAATTAATCACCTTCATGGACCATTCTTCACCACTGTCCACCTATTGTTATCATCGCACTTCTTCATCAATCAGGACTTTCTCTGATAAAAAAGTACGTGTCCCAGTAAATCGAACACTTCGATGGTTAGTAACATTTTTACTTTTTCTATTTTTAATATTGGAGAATGTGATGCTGGAATAATTCTAAAATTAGAGAAAGAAGCTGAAAGTTACGTTTGTATCTCCTAAAAGAATTGAAACTATTCACTCGGTAATTACCTATAAAAAAAATTCCGAAACTTTGCTTATTTTCGTGTATCGAGAATATTCTAATCTCAAGCCCCATTTTTAGGTCTTCTTCAAGATTTTTTTGCAAGGAAACTATAACAGTGTTCAGTATCAATTTTTGCACACATATTCACTCGTGCTTCAAGAACATCCGCGATTTTTCTAAAGCGAAAATACTCAAAACTGGCTGAATGATAAATCATTCAATACAGTCCCGATCTCACAAAATGTTCCTTCTCGCATAATCTTCGAATACGCAAGTTCGTGCTCGTCTTAATTAGCGCTGCCTTCAACCGCATACGCTCGAGCGAATTTTTCAAACGAAGTTCGAGTAACTTGAAAAATATTTTCCAATTGAACAAGCATGCGGCAAAAGCCTCCACTCGAAAGAGTTTCATAAAACGAAGCTGCAGTTCCTCGATAAGCACGCAGTTCGAGTAGACCTCGCTAACCTAAAGGATAAAGCTCGCCGTGACGAAGCAACCGGGTTTAGCTTTTCGTTAAAACGCCGCGCCGTCACTCTTAATCTGGTCCGTTTCTTAGCTTCGATCCCTTTCAGAGACGTCACGCGTTTCCGGCTCACTGGCAACGTCACTTTTGACGATCGACAGCCGTTATTTCATTTCCACGATTGCGATTTGCAGTGAAACCGACCCAAAAATGCTCGACGAAAATACGATTCTTCTTTGTTCGATTCAGTATTTATAAGAAGTTGCTATACAGAGCTGAATGAAATTATGAGTTCGTTTCATTTTTAGCTAGTTGATTGTTAAGAATAGTATTAGGTCATCCCAACAATTCGTGTCGAATTTTATAATTTAGATCGATATTTTTAGCGAACCTTTAAATTTGATTTAAAAAAGAAAAAAGGAAGCAGCTTCTTATTCCACAATTTTCTTTTTTTGGTAACATCATTATGTCGTCGCTATAGTATTTCCTTGAATTTTTATTAAAATGTTTGTCGCTTTTGGCGCGAACTTATAAAATTCGCAAAACAAGTTTCGCAATCTTTATATGAAGAATGAATTATCGCTCCTTCTAAGGAAACCGCTATTTGTAGATTGGACAAAAGAGTAAAAAACCATTTAGTTACTAACTAATTGCAATAAAAATTGTTTTTAGCAATCAATTGCTGCTCCATTGCGATTAATCAATTAGAAACATCTCGTTTTCGTACTGTAGATAAATAACAAACAGCATGCGCAGAATAATAAAATTCTCTTGTAGGCATGAAATTCTGTAATCCCTTCGAATTGTGTGCTAACGCTAAAAAAACTTTATTTACACAGGAAAAATATCATTGAAACTAAATAAATGAAATCGCTGAAAAAAGGGTTCCAATCTGAAATATCTTCACGTTCTGGACGTTTATAAGCAAAGATATAGATTGACAAATTTAGGACTAATTAGTTAGAGTAATTACACAAGAGTGCTCAAACTTAAATTAATTCCCCGAGATCGCGCAAAGTAGAGAAATAGATCGACAAAATTAGCGCTAATTATTTTGAGCGATTACTCAAGAGCGCTCAAACTTAAATTAATTCCCCGAGATCGCGCAAAGTAGAGAAATAGATCGACAAATTTAGCGTTAATTATTTTGAGCAATCACTTAAAAGTGCTCAAACTTAAATTAATTCCCTGAAATCGCGCAAAGTAGAGAAATAGATCGACAAAATTAGCGTTAATTATTTTGAGCGATTACTCAAGAGTGTTCAAACTTAAAGTAATTCCCCGAGATCGCGCAAAGTAGAGAAATAGATCGACAAAATTAGCGCTAATTATTTTGAGCGATTACTCAAGAGTGCTCAAACTTAAAGTAATTCCCCGAGATCGCGCAAAGTAGAGAAATAGATTGACAAATTTAGCGTTAATTATTTTGAGCAATCACTCAAGAGTGCTCAAACTTAAATTAATTCCCCGAGATCGCGCAAAGTAGAGAAATAGATCGACAAAATTAGCGTTAATTATTTTGAGCGATTACTCAAGAGTGTTCAAACTTAAAGTAATTCCCCGAGATCGCGCAAAGTAGGGAAATAGATCGACAAAATTAGCGCTAATTATTTTGAGCGATTACTCAAGAGCGCTCAAACTTAAATTAATTCCCCGAGATCGCGCAAAGTAGAGAAATAGATCGACAAATTTAGCGCTAATTATTTTGAGCGATTACTCAAGAGCGCTCAAACTTAAATTAATTCCCCGAGATCGCGCAAAGTAGAGAAATAGATCGACAAATTTAGCGTTAATTATTTTAAACGATTACTCAAGAGCGCTCAAACTTAAATTAATTCCCCGAGATCGCGCAAAGTAGGGAAATAGATCGACAAAATTAGCGCTAATTATTTTGAGCAATTACTCAAGAGCGCTCAAACTTAAATTAATTCCCCGAGATCGCGCAAAGTAGAGAAATAGATCGACAAATTTAGCGTTAATTCTTTTGAGCGATTACTCAAGAGTGCTCAAACTTAAATTAATTACCAGTGATTATGCAGATTGATAAGGAAAACTCACGTCTGTCGATGAAGCGAAAGTTGCCGAAAAATCCGGTCGCATTAGACGGAGGTCCCTGTGTGTGCAATTCTAAAATAAGCGTAGATCTCGAACTGTAAAGAACCTGCGGGATGTCACGCAGATCTCCGCAAAGTACATCAGACCATGGGGTGTACTCGGAAACACCGGTAGTTTCTAAATGTAGAAACACTTTCAGAAAGTCACCACCGACGCAGCTGAAACATAAATCAGTTGTACACTGTTAGCGATCTCTTTGCGTTTACAAAAGGCGTGCATAATCGCATAAAAGCGTGCAATCTCACGAAACATATTTTTTCCCATTTACATACTTCCTATTTAGTTTAACTTCCGAAACAATTACTTCTTTCATACGCTTTTTAGGTAAAATATGCGACTGTACATTTCAAAATTATGGATATTTTAATACAGAATACTGTTTAGTTAAACGTCCGAAACAATTATTTCTTTTATTGAAAATTATTAATATTTTACTTCAGAATACTATTTAGTTAAACTTATGAAACAATTATTTCTTTTATACGCTTTCCAGGCGAAACGTGTGACTGACATGTGAAAATTATTAATATTTCGAGATAATAACAGAAGGACGTTACATAAAACGATGCAACGCGTTGAAAATAAATTGACGATACGGAACAAAACCACGTTACGAGTTAGTTTACTACCAATTAACCAAAACTTTACGGAAAATATTTTAAACAGAATTGTTGCGCAAATATTCCTACCTACGTCTAAAATTAAATAACAGAAAAGTTCACCGTAGTACGAAAATATCGTTAAAATAACTTATCAGCATTCAAAGATGATACGTTGAAAAATAAAACGTGTAATTAAATTAATTTTAATCAAGAAAAAATACTGTATTATAATATGCACGATTTCATTATCCTCCCGCTCATCTATGAATATTTTGTCACATTAATGAGCTTCGCAGCACACTCGACTTGTGCTAAAATACATAATATATCTTCATGCTACATTTCCTTAATCGTCGTGACATACACGGTCTAAATAATTTTTAACGCACAGACTTATCTCGCGAAGGTAACAATATATCACGAGCACAAGCTTGAAAATGGTATAAAAATGATGTTCGAGGGAAGTCTCTGCCGTTTTTATTATTAGAAGCATCGTTATTTACTCGGATGGAACGATAATAAAGTGCAACGAGTAACAATAGCGCGGGATATTTGATTCTTTTGTGAACTTGGAAGAAGAAGAAAAAAATGCAAGAAAGAATAGAAATATCCGGAACAAAAGAACGGCGAGATGGTGTGAAATTTACGCGCTGCAGAGCAAAATGTTTTCTTCATTTTCGAACGGAATGATTCCCATAAATTTCCATCGTATCTTCGAATCTAGTCAACGAATGCAGGTACGAAATGTAAATACGTAGATCCCGGATGAATGTAAAATTTATCGCGAAACGCCGGCCACTGGCAAATCTCTTTCTGCAAACGGAAAAGCTATGCGAATACATTGAAGGCCGGAAGTGGCGGCGACGAAACGGCCGAAACGGGTGTACCTTGTTTCGCGGGAGGAGGAAATTTTCGAGATTTTCTTAAAGAGTGTATACGATTTGTTCGCACGACTCACGCGAATCGTGAATATTGTTCGAGTAGGAGAGGGAGGAAGTGATTTTCTCGGTTATTCCAGAAGGTTGCGTTTGCGTCGTTAATTTACGAATCGTTCAGTTGCCAAAACCGAGAGATTGGTAATTAAATTTTCCGACGATACGGCCAAGGGGAGAACTTTGTCAAATTTCGTGTAAATTGGGGAAAATTTGTTTGAAATATTCATTTAATGGGATATTGCGGGATGCGAAATTACGATAGTTCTCCTTGAACGAACGAAAGCGATGGTTAATTTGAAATTTGCGGGGAAAGATTAAAGGTAATTGAATTTATGCAATTTTTAAAAAAATTTTACGGAATTAAAATTATTTTATGAATATATGGAATGGATAACTGATCGCAATTTTTCTCCGATTAGCCCTTTCGCGCGGGAAATTTGAATATGTAAAATGTGTGACGGACGATAAATTTATAACCATGGTTGCAAAATTTGGTTTATTAAATTAAGGTTGAAGTGTGTGAAGGATGAAATTAAGCACTAAATTGAGGTGGAAGTGCACCAAAATGCTCGAACTTTCGAAGGGTTAAGGATTTTTTTATTACAGTTTATGAATTTTATTAAATAATTTGATATTTGTTCACTTATTGCTCGGATTTAATGCAAACACAACTAGTTTTATCATCGTGCAAATGTTAGACGGAAAGGAATGTATGAAATTTGTTCGTTTTAACAGAGTACAACAATTATTTTACCTGCGTTTATGTTTCGTTCCAATTACGCCTTGAAAAATACACATACAAAGGGTAAATTATTTGAAATTCATGTTGAAGAACGATGCTATTTTTCATTGCCAGGCAAAGGCGTGCAATCATATCGGAAACCTCTGTTTCAAAGAAATAGTTACTCGTGCGTTGAAAAATATTTAAACGTTAAATGAAATATCCTTTTGTATCCTGGAAAGCAATTATACGCTGAAAGCAAACCTTTTCTACCCTTTGATTTTTTCCATTACCTTCTAACGGGATAAAAGGAATTAAAGGAAACATGATGAAGAAAAAAACAGCCGACGAATACAAATTGTACGTATGAAATGTGAAAATTACGAAAGAACGACATTAAACAAAGAGAAAAAAAAGTGGTTTTTTAAAATTCGCAATATTGTGTCAAGAGTTCAGAAAAGTTTCACAATTTTATGATCGGTTAGATATCCCCTATTGTTTGTACTTTCTCTTCTGTTAATTTCCAACGAAATATTAAGTTAATCAGTGTGAAAATACATCACATTCCCAAATGTAATCAATATTTTATTGGCAATTCTTTAAATTCACAATATCGTGTCAAGAATTCGGAAAAATTTCGTATTTTCACATTCGTTTAAAGGTCTTCTATTCCTTCTAATTTTCTTCTGCGAATTTCCAACGTAATCTTAAGTTAATCAACGTCAAATCGGTGTCAAAATATATCACCTTCTTAAATATAATCAATATTTCATTGGTAATTGTTTAAATTCACAATATCGTGTCAGTAATTCAGAAAAATTCCATAATTTCACAATCATCAAGAGCTCTCCCAATGTTTCCATTTCTCTTTTGTCAATTTTCAAGGAAATATTAAGTTAATCAATGTCAAAATATGTCACCTTCTCAAATATAATCAATATCCCATCGATAATTCTTTAAACTTACAACATCGTGTCAAGAATTTTCAAAAATTCCATAATTTCACAATCATCAAGAGCTCTCCCAATGTTTCTATTTTTCTTCGTCCGCAAACCTCCAGCGAATCATGGTTAACTTGATCGACGTCCAGACAGCATCTCGAATTTCATCGAATTCATCTCGATAACGGGCGATCCTCCCGACAAGGTGTATCAGATACCGGGGATCCGTGATACTCATAGAATGGCTAATTGACTAATTAGGCCCGGCAGCGAAATGGAACAGGTGTTCCAAAGTCCGACTGTACACAGATTACCGGCGGAGTTCACGTGTTTGGAGAGCGTTTCCGATCCCGTGACTTAAAGCGAATACAAGCCGAAATTAGCACAGATTATAATAGAGCCGAGGAGCTTACGAAGACGGGGGCCATATTCGCAAAAACAATTTGCCGGCTCGTTAGTACTTGTTAACGCGCGCGCAGTTCTACGGCGACGTTCATTAGCCGATCCAGCTTTCGTCTGCTTGAACCGCGAACTTGAGTCCTTCGGAAATTGGACGACACGCGAATACCATCGAATTATAATTCTCCGGAATTGGCACGTTAGAAAATGATTTCGACCTCGTACGGCGAACCCGCGAACAAGCTAATTACACGCCGCAGCAAACTTCGGCCGGAATTTACCGAGGCTTTAATGATCCCGTTACGCAACCTATTCATCACGAGCGTTCGCACGGTTTCTAATTAATTAGCGGCAGACCTCTCGTAATATTCCATTTGTTGTAAGTGTTGGCCGAAACCGGCCGCGATACTTCTCCTCTGTCGCTCGAACGGGAAGACAATTAGACGGCGAAAGGAGATGTTCTTAGAGAGACTGACTTCTAACGCGCTTCTTTGTGCTGCTGTGTAATTTGGCGAAGAAGTGTTCGCGTACTTGGTACAGTAGTGCACACATAAGCGTTCATATTTTTGCACATTTAAGCGTCCGTCGCTATGCCCGCCAATTCTTGGAAATGGGACTTCGGGGTGGAAACAAAGTAAGTCGATATCGACTCCTGAATGTGAACAACTGACACTTGATATATCGGTTTGGAAGTGACGTGGTGCAAATGATTACTCGCGAAGTTTTGTAACAAAAATATATTTATTGAAACGGTAACGTTTAACCTTTTAGATACGGTACGCCACTATAGTGGCTTTCGTGGATAGCACCAATTTGGACGGTACGACACTATAGTGACTTTTGTGGATATCATGATTTTGGACAGTATTATTCGTTTTTTGCTTTATTTCGCATCCTGGCAATATCGAAGCTGTCGTTGAAGAGTACACGTGTCAGGGAATCGTCATGAACGGTTTTTGTGCCATTCGCGGCCAGGCGCGCCGTCCCAGGGGTACCCACTTGCGGACGAGCGCGCCGTACCTAAAAGGTTAAACTAATTTTAAATGTAAGCGATATGATGCGCGTGCAGAGAAGGTCTACGACAAAAGGCCTCGTGCCGTTTTCGGGGCCTGTTTTGCTTGCCTTTCCGTTCACGCCACACTCGACCGTCAAGTGGGCTATGCGCGACGGTCGAACTATAAACAGAAGACGACTTAAAAATCCTTAAAAAACTGTTTTTTAGCTTTTGTTAAAATGTTATATTTCTGATCTGAAAGCTTTGATTGAACAAAAATCGATGTCGCCTAAACAAAATGTTTTGTCTCACAATCAGAACGCAAGGTCCCTGGGGACCGGCTGGGCGTGAACGGAAAGTCTACGGCCGGTCCCTAACGTGTTAAGTAGCCCCTTTTCCCTGGGAAAGTCCCAGGAAGTGGGGGTGCGGGAATGAGCTCGGAGAAGCTCGGAGATGTTTGGAAATCATCTCTCGATTTTTCGCCTCCAGGGCCAAGAGTCGCCAGGCCTAAGTGCGTGGGCCCCTCCGTGGCGGTCGCCACATCGGCATCCCAGTCAGACGCATCT